TGAGTGGATAAAAGCAAATGGATGGTCCAATGAATGAATGAATTAGGAAATGAATGGCTGAATGAGTGGATATTGTTGCTACCCCCAGCTGTGGAAGGAAGGGGGTCCATTGCCAGGACCCAGGAGGGCTGAGAGGAGCTGGTTCCTGTGGGCACTTTTCCCCACCACCCCCCTCCATAAGGAAGCAAAGCCCCCCAGGGCTCCCAGCCCACCCGCAGCTGTTCCATTATGTATAGCTACAAACTGGATTGCGTGTATCATTTACTCCTCCACCAGAAGCGTACCACGACCATCGAAACGCAGATGTCAGTGAAATAACATATCTCTGGTGGCTTGTCTACCTGTCTCCCTCACTGCGGAGAAATAACTCGCAGCAGCGGGTTAAGCTGACAATAAACACAGGAATTGACTTCAGTGGGAATAAACTTGCTTCACTGTTGACAAAAATCTAAGGTGATGCCACCTTCACTGGGCTCGTGGCTTGCTCAGGTGGCTGCCTGGCCGTGCTTCTCCCTTCTTGAGACTGGGATGAGGGACAAAGGCTCCAAGTTGACAGAAAGGTCCCTGTTCCTGAGCAGAGAAGCAGGTCCCAGTGAACCTGTAAAGGGCTAGGGCTTGGCTTTTGCGGTCCACGTGCACTTTGCCATTGAGAGAGTGAGAGCTCTGGAATACAGCCGGTCCTGTGAAGGCTGGTGCCCTCCTCTTCCCTGCTTGGGCAATTGGTAAAGATCAGGCAAAGGGTGGCAGTTGTGTCCTTATGGTCCAGCACACCCTCCGGGCAAGAGGCAGCCCCTCCCCTATTCTCACCAAGGTGCCCCAAGCATTGGTTACAGAGTGGCCCCTGGAGCCCGGGTGGTCAGACACTGAGGGGAATGGCCAGAGCCCCAGGACTACGGCGTCCAGCCCCTCCAGCCCCTGCCTGCTGCTGGGCAGCTGGAAGAACTGAAAGTAGGCAGGCTTCAGCAGAGGGCACTCAAGTCCTAGGGATCTGCACTCAGCAAAGGCACAGCACGCTCTGCTCAGTGGCTTCTCAGGGAAGCGGAGATCATGAATCTCAGTAACTGGAGCCCAGGGCCTCATCACTCACCGTGATTGTGGGGGGATCGAGAGCCGAGTGGATCAGTCTAAACAAAACATGCACACAGGGGACTCGTCCAGATGAGCGGCTTGGCCACCACCTGGGGGCCACTCTGCCTTGCCCACAGAAGCTGGGGAGGGGTCTGGGAGGGGGCCATGGTGGGGGCTGACAGTCTGGTTCCCTCCACTGAGCCCTACCCTCACCCCCACCTGTGAGCCGGTGGGAGACATGAATCTCTCTGGCAGCGACTTGGGCCAGCTCAGCCGTTTTAGGGGATGTTAATGAAATGCGGGAGCACTTGTCCTTTCAGACAGCGGCCCCTTTTATTTGGGAATGAAAAGCTGCATTAGTCTGAATGAGGTTTGGAGGCCTCATAAATCCAGCGCTGGCTGCCTCGTGGGGGAGCTGAGGCCTGGCTGGTGGGTAGACTTGTTTACCAACAATGCCAAAAGCCAGGACTGGAGGCTCCCAATCCCCAGAGATGCAGCTTGAGATGGTGCCAGACCTGGTGCCTGCTGGCAATAGGGCCACTTGGAGAAGCCCATGACCACTGGAGAGAGGGTTGCAGGGTTCTTTTGTGAGTTAGGGACCCCGGAGCACCCCAGCTTGCTCCAGTAAAGGACCCGGATCCTGTTCTACTCTCGGCCTTTCTAAATGCAGCTAGAGGCTGTAGCTGCCATTGCAGAGGGGAGAAGGATCTTCCCTAGGGCCTGCCCTCCTCGGCCTGGGAGGTGTAGATATGGGTCACCCATGAGCTTGTGCTGGAGCCCTGGCTCCTCATCCAGAGCTTGGAAAACAGTGATGCCCAACAGATATTAGGAGGGAGCAGGGAGGGAAGGGAGGAAGATCACTCACTAGCTGTGTGCCTTTGGTCTTTACCCTTCCAGGGTTCTGAGTCTTCATCTGTAAAATGGAAAAATAACCAAGACCCTGAAGAGTGGGTCGTGGAGAGGACTGGAAGAACTGATACCTGCAAGGTAGTGAGTGCCTTGTCTGGAACATGGCAAACGAGTGAGAAATACAAGCAGTCCTGATTATCACTGCTGTTTTTTTGTTGTCGTGATGCATCCCACTCTCTCTTGGACTGGGAGGGGACAGGCTGCTGTATCACAAAATGGCATGCAGCTATGTGAAGAATAAGGCCCCATCCTGGGTTGGGGAGAGCAGCTTTCCCTTTGAGCCCCGGGGTTCCGGCTGGGCTGCCAAGCCAGGAGACTGGGTCCAGGAGCCTCTGCAGCTGGAGGCTGTTTCCCACGGCAGCCTAGTGGCAGCAGAGAAAAGCCTCCATCTGCAGCACTGGGGAACTCACGCCCACTCTGAATGCAGCAGGAGCAGGCCAGGCCTGTGCTGTTTCCTGGGGGTGACAAGGGAGACATGGGTGGCAGGGCCACTCCCTCATCCCCAGGAGTCCTCAGATTCCCCCTCTGCTAGTCTAGTTCCTTTCTCTTGCTAGCTTTCTGGAAGCCCCCTCTCCTCTTCCTCCTCCCCGCCCTCCATCCCTCCCTCTCCTGGCCTCAGTACTGCGCTCCCTCTGGGACCCACCTCTATCTTTCTTCTTTTGTTTCCTGTCAAACCACTTGTCCTTTGCCCCTGCCTCTCTCCTGTCAGAGGGTTGCTTGAAGAACAGCACACACACAATTGGCACCCAGGCGCCTCACTCCGTCCCCCAGTCCCCTAGTCAGACTTGGGCCCTGTTGGCCATGCCGTGCGTCCTTGATCTGAGTTCAGGTCCCTTTCATTTCTCCATCAGGCTGCTGGAATTTTCTTAGAGAACAGCCAGGCCTTTTGATTCCTTAGGGGCAACCAAACCAGCTGTGGAAGCTGATAGGCAGGTAATGGGGCTGTGGAGTGTGTCCCTGAGCTCCCTCCTGGAGGGTGGGGTCCTCTGCTCCCCTCTCCTGCACTGCCTCCTTGCTGGGCCCACTGAAGCCCTTCTTCTCCATACAGAGGTCAGCTGCTGCTTCTCTGGCTCTGGTCTGCATGTCCTTCCCTCTGGTCCTGGAGGCAAGATTTTTCCACTGGCAGCCCATTCAGGGTAAGAGGGGCCCATGATTGGCAAAGACAGACCCTTAGTAACCTCCATTTACCAGCAGATCATTGAGGATGTCATCAAGCCTGGCCCACAGTCTCCCTTCTCCCTGGGAGAGCCCAGGGAGTCTCTCCTCCCAGGCCACAGTCCCCTCACTTCAGGTGGGAGGGAGTCCCCTCCTAATTGGTAGGATTGGCCATAGTGATATTCACATCCCTGCACAAAGCCAGCCCCGGTCCTTTGCTCCCAGGCAGGAAGGGAAAGAAAGAAATGGCAAAATTAACAGGCAGTTTAGCGCCCGACGCATAGTATATTTGTAAGAAAATTAAAGATTTGCTCTTCAGATGTTGGGGGCCATGCTCTCACCAAGACAGCTGGCAAATGGGAGAGATTGGGAATGATGGACTAGATCAAATTATTTAAATGAGAAAAATAAATTCACACACAGCCTAGCCGCTGCTCAGTGACAGATCCGTTTATTTATCTACTGTATCGGCACCGCTTTGTCTCTGTCAAAAAGGTCATTAAACTCGCCTAACTGCGTAATTCGCAGCCTCCTGCTCCAGCTTCGCTCCGCAGCCCTTCTCTTCCCTCGACACCCAGCTCCACTTGAAAAAAAAAATTTATTATTGCTAATAAACAACATTTCTTTTTAACCCTTTCAACTTGCTCCCCCGCGGGTCCTGCTCCGTCCCGCGGAAAATTACAGTTTCTCCTTATTGTTTCTCAGTAGGATTCGGGGAGGGGGCACCAGCCCCTCTCGCAGAGTTGGGGAAGAGGGCTGAAAAGCAGTGGGCTCCAACTCTACATCCAGGGGTTTAGCAGTCTTCCTCCGCAGCCCTGTAGCGGCGGCGCGTGGTCAAGTCCTGTCTTCCACGCAGAGGGGCTGACCGGGTCTCTCACCCCTTCCGCAGCTCCCCTGGCTCAGCGCGGACAATTCTCTTTGAATTCTATACCCCCAATCCCCAGGCCCCAGGCCCAACCCTGCTTCCACCAGGGACGGGGCCAGGGAAGGAAATCGTTCTCGGAGCACTCTCTGGCCACCGCCGTCCAGCCAGCGCGGGCCGCGTGGGAGCTGAAAGGCGAGACTCCGCAGACGGCGGGCTCCCGGTCTCGCTGCTCCCGGCGGGCGCGTCTCCTCCAGCTGGTCGGGCCGCTGGGCTGCCGCCGTCTCCCAGCTCGTGGTGCCAGCTCTCGCGCTCCACGCCTGGCTCCCGGGCTCTGTGCCCTCGCAGTTGAAGGGACTGGGGGCGGTAGGGCGGATGGGGACGTCTGGGAAGCGAGGAGAGTCCTCGTCCTCCCGGCGGCCCCCCAAACCGGGTCCAGGGTCCCGTTCCCCGCCCCCTCCGCAGGTGTGAGCGCGCGAGTGTGTGCCTCGGCGAGTGTGAATGTGAAGTGTGTGCGCGGGGGAGTGCGCGGAGGGAGCGCGGGCGGCGGGCGGCGCGGGAGGCGGGAGGCAGGGCGCGGGGGAGGGGGCTGGGAGGGAGTGTGTGCGCGCGTGCAACTCCACTCCGGGGCTTTGTGCGAGCCCGGGCGATAGCATCGGCGGCGGCTGGAGGAGGAGCGGCCCGAGACGCGTGCAGCCCGCCCGCCAGCGCCCGGCAGCCGGGGCAGGTGGGAGCCCGCGCGGGAGCCGAGCCGACGCGAGCCGGAGCCGGAGCCGAGTCCGAGCAGAGCCCGGGCGGAGCCCAGGAGCCTCGCTCGCGGGCAGCCCGTGGGCGGTAGCCAGGCGGGGCGGGCGCCGGCGGGGCGGCCCCCCAGTAAGATGTGCGCAGCGCCGCGGGGCGCCCCCCACTCGCAGCGGCACTCGGGAGCCGGGCGGCTGGGCCAGGCGGCGCCTCGGGGGCTGCTGCGCGCCCGCGCCTAGAGCTGCCGCCCCAGGGAGCCCGCCACGGCCGCGCCCCGGGCACGCTCGGCGGCGCCCAACGATGACCGCTCCCTGGCGGCGCCTCCGGAGTCTGGTTTGGGAATACTGGGCCGGGCTCCTCGTGTGCGCCTTCTGGATCCCAGACTCGCGCGGGATGCCCCACGTCATCCGGATCGGTAAGGGCTCCCTGGAGCCGGGGGGTCTCTGTGCGCCCGGGCGGGGGCGGGAACGGGGGCCTCTGAACGTGATCTCTAGAGATTTTCCCAACCTCTCTCCGGGCTGGCGGGACCGGGTAACCACCAGGAGCTCGTCATGGTGAGGACAAAGTTCCAAAGCCAGGGCCACGGGCCTTACTTATTTGGGAGGAGGCAGCCGGGCCGCGGCGGGCGAGGGGCCCTTGGCGCGCTCCTGGGAGGTCAGACCTGGTGGAGTGTGGCGAACGGTTCCAGTCCCAGCCCGAGACCCGGGCGAATTTTGCGGCGACTGGCAGCATGACTGGCCGCAGACCGAGTTCTGGGACTCGGCTTCTCCGGGTAGTAGGAGCCCTGGGGAAGGCGCCAACTTCTCTCCTCTCCCCTTGCCGCTCCCCGCGGGCCCCTCGCCCCCACCTCGGGCACAGCTCGAGCAGCCGCGGCAGGGGCGCAGGGTACGGATTCGCATGACGAGGGAAGCGGGTTTCCTCGCCCAGTGGCCGCCCTCGGCTTCGGTGGCCCCCGTTCAGCGCTGTGGCGTGGGGCAGGGAGGAGCAGTCTCCCGCCAGACACTCCGGGCTGTCCCTGGAGACCCAGGCCTTTTTCTGCCGGGGGCAACGAAGGTGGGGGGAAGGGAGCGACGGAGGCCGCCCAGCGCAACCGGGAAGGCGAGCGAGGGCTGCGAGTGGTTGTTAAAGTTAGCCGAAATCCCTCCGCAGCTGGCGGCGGCTGGCGGGTCTGCGCGCGGCTTTCTGGGGCTTGGGCTTCTCCGCGTCTCTTTTCGCCAGAGACTCTTGCTCGGGCTTTAACTTTGTTGTGGCCGCCCGAGGCACCCTGCGGGCAGCGCTCTGGGCTGTGCGGTGGGGCCCTGCGTGTCCCAGGCCAGCCGACCCGCAGGATTGGGCCCGGTCGTGCCACCGGGGAGCCTCGTCACCCTGGGCTCAGGGCCGCCAGGCTGGAAACCTGGGCCGCCTGGGTTCCCGAGGAGCCACCGCCAGCGTCAGGCACAAGGTGGGCAGAACTCTGTCCAGCCAAGGCCACCTTCCTCCTCTGTGGCGTTTCTCCAGGCACCGACTTTGGGCTGTCAGCCGCGCGAAGGGGATGCAGGGAACCAATGTGGGCTTGGTTTCCGTACTTGAGGTTTTCCTAGTAGGAGGTCAAAAACCTCAGAGGATCTGTCTCCTCCCTGGCGGTCTCCCATGAGCTAGACCCTTTTGAACATCTGGATGCGGGTAGAGCACAGTGCCTCAGCTCTGCCCAAGCTGTCTTTCACTCCTTGCTTGGGACCCTGGCAGGCAGACACCCAGAGAGGCAGAGAAGGCCAGGCACCGTTGGGGACTCTGGGGACAGCCCTCATGGTCAGGCTTAACCCTTTGCGGTCCAGGTTGCTCCTGGCAAGTCGAATGTCTTCTGTCTCCATACTTTTGCCTGCCCAGCACCCAAGTCATCACCATTCCAGGGGCAGGCAGCCCATTAACTATGGACCAGAAGAAGGCATCCCTCTATTTTTTTGAGGGTCCTTCATGATAGGGTATCCTTGGGAGAAAAAAGGGGAGCCCCTGAGGATGCGATATATCCATCCCATGGTTTGCAGGACCCTCTTCCATGGTCCCACTCTTCCCTCTACTGGGGTGGGATAGATGTACTTGCAGCCCACCCTCAGGGATGAAAGTCTTTGGAGACCTAGAGAGACAGAAGCAGGTGAGGGCAGCCCAATGGGGGCAGAATGATGTGCCCTGCCTTGCCCCTTCTTACTGTGAAATTGAATAGGTCTGGGGGTTCCTTGCCACCATGAGAAGCCCATCTTTAAACCTGCCCGCCCTTTCTTGGGTTCAGCATGTAATAATGCAATTAGAGGATGGCAGAGCCCTCCTCTCCTCTAATCTTCTTCATATTAAGCCCCAGGATTAATTAGCGTGTCGGCCCAGGCCATTTATATCCAAGAGCCCTGCCCCATTTGATTCCCAGCCCAGGGACCGGGGTGCTGTGCGGTTGCCAAACGTGACCACTGGAGCTGAGCCAGCTCTGGTGGAGGATGGGAAGGCTCTGAGGCCTCTGGGCTTCTCTGGAGCAGACTAGGGGCTGGGCTTCTGACCTTCTGAGCTTGTGCTTGAACCCCAGCTGGAGCCAGAAAGCTACAGTGGATGTGGTGCAGGGAGAGAGAGAGAGAGAGAGAGAGAGAGAGAGAGAGAGAGAGAGAGAGAGAGGAAATTTTTCATGCTGAAACCCAAACACACCGCCTTGGCTGGGCCAGTGCCATCTCCGTTTTCCCATTCCTCCCACCCCTGGGATCTGAGGGCTTTGGCTGGGCTGCAGGGATTGAGGTCCCGGATATTGGGCTCTGGAGCTTGCTGGGTGCTTCTGGTTCCCAAGCCTGGTGCAGGCACTGGCTGAGCTTGGAGCTGAATCCTTCTCCAGCAGCCAGGCGTCGCTGAGCACCGGCCCAGAGAGGGTTTACCTGCAGGTGCAAGATGGGCTCTCTGGGCTGGGGCGCACTGTACCCGCCCCCTCTCTTTGTGCCTCTTTTGGGGTCTGAAATTTCCTCTTAGACAAGGAGATGGATGGCTCAGCAGTGTGACAGAGTGTTCAAACAATCCGTCTTGAATAGATGAATTGCATTGCTCTGTCTTTTTGTAATTGTGTCTATCAGAGGGAGAGGTCAAGGCATTGATTGCTTGGATGGTTTGCAAGTAACAAAGGAGAGTGAGGGAGAGAGCGAGGGAGAGAGAGTAATTGGATTGTAGTCTGCGGAAAAAATGATCATTGATTATTTTATATGAATATGTGGAAGATGTATTCTGTGTGTGATTACCAAGTGTTGCTCATTGAAGGTTTGCAAAGCAAATTGTTCAGCATTTTATTATTATTATCATCGTTATTATTGTTTGGATGAATCCTGGTCTTAACTTATAGAAAGCGGTTTAATTCAGGGTCCTTTCAGCCGAATGGGCTTTCACTGACCTCCTGTGGGGACCTGGATTTCCAGGTTTCATGACCTAGAAGCTAAAGTGGAGGGGGCACTGGGCTTGGAGGCAGGAGCCCTGGATTGTCGGCTCTGTCTGCTGCTGGTTTGTTGGACCACTTTGCTCAAATCACACCCTCCTTCCCACCTTGATCCTCAGTTTCCCCATCTAAACAATTTGGTTGGCCTTCATGGTTGGCATATTCTATGGGTTCCGAGTTCCCTTGAGCACAGGCTGGTGGGAACTCTGTCGTTGTAGGTTTCATGGTTAGATCTCCCCTAAGATTACAGATGTACTGTAGGATTGAGGGTCAGCCTAGAATTTGCAGAGGGGACCAGGCAATGATGGCAGCAGCTGGGGAAGCCTGGCCAGCCTTCTGTGTGAGGAGGAACTTGGATGGATGGCCGTGATCTCCAGCCAGCCAGTGGGGAAGTTCAAAGCCAAATGACTGCAGAGACATAAAGCAGGTGTATGTGTATGGGGGTGGGGTGGGGTAGGGGAGGAAGGGCTGGCCCAGCTCTGGGCTCTCAGAGCATCTACAGAGTAGAGGTAACTGCATGGTCCTGAGCTGCCTGAATGTGTGCAGACAACAGCAGGTGGTCCCAGGGGAGTAAGGTCCCCTCCTTCAGAGTTCTCAAACTAACCCCGTCTGCAACTCCTCTGATCGGTGCACTCAGGTCATCCCGAGCGTTTGCCTCTTGAGTTTGGGAGCCACTGCATGTAAAACAATGAGAAATTTCTCGGTGACTAGTGATACGCTGAAACATCGCGGCCATGTGGGAGCAGACAGCCGCTGAATGAAGATCAATAGGGTTTCCCCCCCTGGAAGTAAATAGCTTCAGACAAGACCTGGGAGTGGCCCGAGGGGCCTTCGGAAGCATTAACTTGAGGAATTTCTGCCTCCACTTTGCAGCCCAGCTGCTCCTGTCAGCCGGCTGGCCGCCTCCTTCAGCTGGAGGTTAATTTCCTCTTGCTGCTGCCCTGGCATTGCGCGAAACCGCCTTTTGACGTCAGGATGACCTAGGGTTTCTAGAGGTGCTTTATACAGGGTGAGCCGGCACCCTGACCGGACTCAGCTTTTCCAAGGTCACCTGTATCCTTGCAGCTGGCTGTGATGAGCTGGGTGCGAAGTCCAGCCTGCTGTGCTGTGTGGAAAGGACTAGGAGGGGCTGCTCTGCATTCCTCACCCTCCAGGAATGCTTTTAGGATCCTGCATAGGGCCTGTGGGCCGCCTTCTTAGTCCCCACATTCCCACAGCCAGTCTGTGTCCCAGTCCTTGGACACAGAGCCCCTTTCCTCTGGGAGGGGGCACAGATACTCTTGTGGGCGGGCGAACAACTCCTGCTCTCCTGAGAGGTGCACGTCTCCTGCAGGGGAGGCTGCAGGCAGATTGGACGGTCTTTTGGGGGAGATCTGTGGGTGATCGGCATCTGGGACTGTGTCTCTGACCCTCTGAGGCCAGGCCTCCTCTATCCTGTCACAGTCAGCTGCCCTCGCCTCTTCCTCCTGCAGCTGTGGCCTGATCCCTGCCCTGCTCCATCAGGACCCTTCAGAGGGAACTGAGAGCTGGTGCTTTTTCTCTGCTGGGCAGCACAGAGGACCCAGGAATCCCCCAGGCTCTGCCTGGCAACGTGGAGGATTAATGCTCTAGGAGCAGGGCCCTTCCCTGGGGCTAGCCCCCAGCAGGCCCTGCCCTGTCCTCTCCAGGCTGACCTGGCGGGGCCAGAGCTCTGGGGTGGATGTGCTGAAGTCCTGGTCCCAGTGTGGAAACACAGCTGATGCCCCTGGGACTGGCACCTGGACCTTGGGCTTGTTTCCTGTCCTCCCTCTTGTGCCAGGTGCTGATTCCTCAGCAGCAGCAGCAGAGGGCAGTGTTCCTGTGCTCGCAGGGCCTTCGAATCTCCTGCCTGGGGCCCCACCTGGGTCGGGAGCAAAATCCAAATAATGAAACAACAACAGAACCGTGGCCCCAATTTATTGAGCGTTTATTAGCTGTCTGGCACTGTGTGTGCTTAGTGCTTT